ATACACTCGTTATAGGGTAGTGACCATGAAATATATTGTGCCTTTAAGGGAGCATTGCAGGACTATCCCAGGCTGAGATGTTCCAGTGGGTGAGATTAATAGCAACATAAGGCAGTTGCAGGTGTCACTAAAAAGGCTTTGTAATAGATTGTTAGATGTTATTGTATCTGATAAGGTGAGGTCTCAAAGGTCCTTTCAGTCCCTCGCACTATTGAGGAATAATTAAATGACTAACACATACACACCACAGCTGTGACTGCTGCCTCTCAGTGTGTACCACACGTCTGGTCCACTGCGGGCATTTGTTATGAGCTCTCATGTGGCTGTCAGAATATTCACTCGAAGTCTCTCTGCATGCATGGCTGTGCGTGCACACAGGCTCCCGGGACTCACACAGCAGCTATGATACAATAAATTCAAATCACGGTCAGTCCGGAGAGAACAATCAAATCGGTATGACGCAAGAGGGTAAACAGAGCATGGGATCATTTCAGAAAATATCTGCGTGGTTAAAAAAAAAAAAGTGACAGCGACCCTGCGCCTTTCACTTTCGCCTTCCTGTGTTTTTGGGGTCTTTCCCACACCATTACAAGAAGTGGTCAACACGATGGCACACATACATATCTTTACAGCTGTAGCCTAGACTCGCGCAAACGGCTTTGCTTCTCATCATCCAGTGGTAAATGTTAACAGTGGATCCGCAGGATGATTGTAAACTGGCACATGTTATTGTCCCGCGGTGGGCTTCTGCTTTCAGTTTCTCTACCTGACAGCTCCTTCTTCAACAGGACTTAGAAAAACTTGCACACATCCCAGCGAGCTTAACTCTCTTCTCATTCAAATCACACTCACACACTCATTTCGAGACTTACCGGTGCGCACCAAGCAGGCTACTGTGATGATGGCGAGAGGGACGCAGTAGTTCCACACGTTCGCGAAAGCCATTTCTGTCGCTGATATTCCTCCACTGATCTGGTTCCTCAGTATTCCTCTTCCTTGGAGTAATCAGAGTGACATGAACCCGCAGGTTCACTCTCCGACTGCGCCTTCAGCGTCTGTGTAGTTATGTGTGTCTCTGTGTGTGAGTGCGCGCGCGTGCGACTGTGCGTGAACGAGAGTGTTTCTGATCAAACGCTCCGTGCGTAAAAGCGGGTCTTTACATAGTAGTACTTCCTCTCACACAATCACACCCACTTTCCCTCTTTGTGAATGCGTTCAAATGATGGCTTGGCCGGTTTTTCTTGGTGACTTTTACATTGTAAATATATTTTAAAAAGCTTCCCGTTGGGGCGGGCCTGTGTGTGCTTCTGACCAATGGCAGAGAGCAGGAGCAGGTGGAGGAGTGTTTCGGATGAGAGAGAGGGGCTGGGCTCCAAGAAGAAAACGGCTTTACAGAAGCAAAGCAGGGGAGGGAAGAGCGGGTACACCTTCCCATTAATTGAAATCAATTCGTGCTAAATGTGATTGATAACCAACATTAATTTCCCGACGCAAATTACCCATTTATTCCATATTCAGCACACGGAACGAAAAGGAAGTGTGGCACAATGATTAAGATGACAAAAACGAAACAGATGTTTATTATGTGAAGCGAAAGAAATGTTGCAGTCATCAAGTTACCTGGAAATGTGGCAATTGGTGTTGATTCATCTGCATGTCCGGAATCAGGAGGATGAACTATTCCCACATTTTAAACCTGATACTGTGGCAAAAAAAACATTATAATTTTCAAGTGTTTCCTTATTATAGGATCACTGACGCATCAGGAACTGTGCAATATTCTTTGGGTTTTTTGGTGATCAGGGGACATTATGCTGCAGAAGCTGCCCCATTATCTCCCAAGTGTGCATACAGGACTCATCAAGGAGAGCAGAGAGAGAGACCTGAGTGTATTCTGTTAAATCGCCGTTCACAATGACGGTAATAGCCTGGAACAAAAAACTTGTGCTCCGGACGAGCCAGTGTCTCTACTCATCTGTAGTCAGGGCCTATTAGGTCTTGCTAAAGGGGCTCTTTAACTTTACCCTCATGCTGTGGACACAGTTTGCCCATAATTGTGTTTTCCAGTCAGAGAGCGCTGCTCCATTATGAAAATTGTTTCTCTTTTCCACATTTCTTCTTTTTTTTTTAACCCTCCCCTAATCTAGTGCTATACCACCACAGGCTTGCAGCATCCAAGGCTTGAAGGCATCTTTTTGAAACTGTATCTTTGGCGCCTCCCTCAGGTACGTCTAGGAATTGCGCGTCATGGGTTTCAAATCTAGTTTGGCCTCTCTCTCATCTGTCATGAATCCTCCAGACACTTTTCGGCCAGTTTGGCTCAAACATTTAGAAAAGTTCAAACAGGCAGTAAAGTATCAAAGCAGTCTAATAACATTAATATTAATATGTCTGCCCTTGACTTAAAGCCCTTCCAGAAAGTTCTCTTTGAACTCACGCCTCATATCTGACCTCCACTTGAGGATCTGTGAGCAATCATAAATTCTCAGCTTCAGGCTTCGTCTGCTCCGTGATTTAATTTCCCACCACAACTTTTTAACCTTGTTGTTTTGGCGAGGAAACTATCTGCCCCACTCAATCTCCAATTCCGATCCCATTCCATTTTTCCCTGTCAGCCTCTCTGCGAGTGTTTGTTCCCCTCGGTTGGCAGGGAGTCTGTGGCAGCAGCTTCCCTGCACCAGATGGGGTATTGTCAGGAAGTAATGAGGGGAAAACACCTGCTTCTCCAGTGAACTCCACTCCTTCATTTTCAGCCATTTGACACAACATATGCAAGAAGCACATACAAAACCAAGTGACCGTGACGAGAACAGCAGTGGGCGATGGCAAACAGTTAAAAACGCCTGGCTCTTTGGTGCGTTAGTCAATGAGGTGTCATGTTTGGTACAACCTTCTCTACAAGTAGGCTGGTGTATTCAGGGTTAGCAGGACGGTCTGGGACGCTTGGGACCAGGCAACAACCTCCAGATATGAGAAATGAGGCCAACACAGAAGTGCCAAAAATCTGAAGCTTCTCAAGTGGCCGCCTGAGGCTGACTCCAAAAATCCAATCCCCATTCAGTCCCCATATTCCATGTTTACAGCCTGCTAAATCATGCATTTGTCTCTTCAGCTCATTTCAAGCATGACAAAGTAAAGTAGATGGAATTTTATATATCGCTCCCATTGAAACTGTAACAGTGCTTAAATAGTTAATTCTAAAAGACTTGGAGACTTTGAGTAGCAGGTGGATGATATACTGTAGCAGTCTGTCACTTTATTTAATTCTGCTGCTGAACCTAAACTCTGGGCCATATTTGTGTTTGAGGTGCTTTTGGGGATGTTTTATGCAAGTTTTTTCAAATATGATGCCCTGCTGTACTGCTTATGTTTTAAAGGTCATCCAAGGTACTCAATTTTTTGGCAAGGGACATTCTAGTTTTATTGTATTTTTAATTCAGCACGTCTAACAAGGTATTGGGGTCTTTGCTTGTTCAGCACCATACATTTTTTAATTTAAAGCTCAGCGAATTAGACTAAGGGTTTCTTGTTGGCTTTTCCTCCCTCAAAAGATGTGTGTGTGTGTGTGGGGGGGGAGACCTCACATCAAAACATCCGGCTCCATCTTGTTGACTGGATGCTTCATAAGGACAAATCAATAGATGACGTCATGATAGCTTTGCCCATTATTTATACAGTCCATTGTTAGGACCCCTTCTGCACCAGACATAACTTTTGTGGCTGCTCTGTATTCTCTGCACAGCTTCTCCATCGCCCTGAGCTGATGTCCGGTGGTTTATCCATGAGCCACTATCAAGGTCAAGATGTCGCTGTAAACTACACTCCACTTCCTCCCAACCACAGCCTTGTACTTCAGGGACAGCGCCTCTGTGCAAAATTCCTGAAACATAATCTTGTCTTTTCTGGCCAACCAGTTGAAGGCCCAGGACCAAATCCCACAGGGGAGCTCTCAGCTTTTCAGTCATGACCAATTTAAAGGCCAAAACAAAACGCTGCTCACTGGCATTTCACACACCCGAGGGCATTTTAAATTTACAACCTGTATTTTTTTTCTCCCCCCCCCCACAGAGTGTGACAAATTTTTTAAAAGTCTTTCTTTTCTAGTTAATGTCTCTTTTTCCTCCCCATCTTGACCTCAGTCATAAAGTAAGCAGAAGTTTGTGGAGTTGGAGAAGAAATACACAGTCTGTAAAATGCTGAACAAAAAAAATGGCTGCAGCAGAGGCAACTGTACAGGGGGGGTTTGAATAATCAGTTTAATAACATTATCCTGGCTGTGCTCTGTGGCGCATGCACCCGTTAATGGAGTGTCATTGTTAAACTGCCGCTTCGCCCATTATTAACGACGGCCTACGGTCAACCACACACGCATAATAAAACCACATAAAACCCAACATAACTTCAACAGACAAGCGTAATGAAATTCTCTGCATTACGAGAACGGTTATGGTAATAAGCAATGGTTGCTGTGGCACAATGTTGAGGGTAACAAGGCAACAGAGGAGAAAATTAAAAAGATGAAGATGTAGTCTATGATGGGTATTTTTTTGGGGGGGGATCAGAATAAACTAAGTCTTGTTCATGTTGGAGTAAAGCTAGCAGAGTTTTAAGCCTGCTTTCCCTTTTAATGGACAGGCAAAGTTTCGAGATTACGTGACGTGACTGTTATGCTGGATGTGTGCAAGTCTTTAGTTCATGCATGTGTTTCGCAACCTGAACTGACTGAGAATGGGTTTAGTGCTCCGGGGGCAGATGGGGAAAAACACTGCACAGGCACCGTACTTTGAGTAAAGGTCAATGCCTCAGAGTGAGGTCTTACAGGCTGAAGGGAAAGGTTGGTAAACAAGCTGATGCAAGCCTGAGATGGCATTGGATCGAGAAGATGTGCGACCAAGCGAGCATGCATGTCGAGCTTTCACCATGTTGTCAATACTCCCTGGCCTCTTTTTGTATCTCTAAAATGGAGCAAAAATCAATGACACACACACAAGGACAGTAAGTAATATTTACTGAAAGCCATTTAATATCAAAGAAATCAAAAGTACAGTAAATCCAAATAGTAGAGTGCAATGTGCTTCAGAGCTGTCATAGTGAAAAAAAAAAAAAAAGAAAGAACATAATAACCTTCCCACAGATACCAACGGTTCTTCTCCGCAGTGAACAGGTTGAAACAAAAACAAATACACCAAAAAAAGAAAAATCTTATCTTACCACGTAAATGGATCATTCATAATACACTGCTGAGTAATTATATTCGACTCAGAAAGGAGAGAATTGCAAGTCTTAACATCATCCCACATCATTTTGCAAAGAAAGTAGCACACCATTTTCCACACTGCTGAATGAATAAAAAGAAATTGGCCACCTTTTTTGTCTTTCTTTTCTGTCCAAGGCGCAGAACTACTGCGTAACACCCACAAGCAAAGAAGCGCTTTTTTCTCTAAAGCAATCATTTGCCCTTCAGGCTTTTTACACCCTGCTTGTTTCTGATTTTGATTTTCCTCCCCCTTAAGCCTTCAAATATCCCTCTTTGATTTTCTTTCTTTCCTCCCCCAACGTGACCACACATACACCAATCTCCTCCCCCTTTAACTATCCCCTTTATGCCATTCCTCATTTTCAGTCCTCCCACTCTGTCTCCCATTCCATCTTCTTCTCCCCACCCTTCTCCTTCCACCTGCCTGTGCAGTTACACCAGGGGTTGTTTGTCTCCGGAGATGGAGGGCAGGGACTCCACACTGGTTTTGTAGATGGGTTTCTTCTGAGAGCGGTCATCACTGTAAGAGAGGGAGAGAAGGAAAGACAGAGGAGCATGATTATCTGTATATCGACCTCTCAGTAGGCACTCGAAAACTATAAGTGAGGAAATTATGGACTAGACGAGAGCAATGGACCCACTCCTGACTGATGATATGAAAGTGCATTTTTCTCTATTTTTCTCTCCACCTCTCTTTTTATGCACTCATTCTCATATACATCATAGCAGCACATGCGCAGCCACATGTGCGAGGATTAAACTGCTTTCGTTGTCACAAAGAAGCCAGCTGTTATGGAGAATCTGCCTTTGACTTTTTTTTTTTCCACCCCCAGCCCATATGGAAAAGAAGTTAATAAGCCAAGCTGCACGGGGTCATGGTTCACATTAACACACTGTCAGCAACACATTTAATGGGACTTGCACTAATGCTCTTATCATTACTGTGGCCTTTTTAAAAAACTAAATATACCATCATAGAATTAAACCTGGTGCCATTAGCCTTAGCGTTTCATGCAGAAGTCATGAAGTCAAAATGAAGTCAAAATGCAGGGTCACGAGGGAGAGAGGGGAGCATGGAAGAGATCAGGAAAGGGGGTCGAGAAGGCCAGACCTGCTGAGACATCCATAAATATTCAGTTTAAATAATGCATTTTTTTTTTTAAAACACATAAAAGCACACAAGCACCAGTCTGCACACATGTGAAAAATCAACACGATGACACACACACACACACAAGGTGAAGTTTACACCAACGTGCACGCCTAAATTCCCTCACTGTAGCTGAAATGGCCTTGGTTCCATCACATGAGACAGAATGAAATATTGCAGCAATAACCATATCCGTAATATAAAGTCAAACTGCAGGAGGAGAGACTGCGGCTGATTTAAAGGAAATAGGAAGGTGAGTGTGGGTAAAGCACCGTGAAGGAATCAAACAATCACACAGGCGCATACAGATCCAGAGGCAGGTTATGCATCAGATTTTGTATATGATTCAATATGAAAATCACACATAGGGAGAAAATTGATGTCTTTTTTTTTTTTTTTTTTTTTTACAGAATAGTTGCAGACACAACGCTCAAACAGTGGTTTCTTACATGGGTCCCTTGCTGGTCTTGGCCTGCTTGGCCCTGCGGCACAGGAACACACTCATGGAGAGGATGAGCACCAGGAGAGACACAGCTGCCGCCGAGGTCATCAACACGAGCTGGCCATTACTGGACGCATACCAGGGGGCATCCTCTGAGGGACAGATCAATCGGATATGAAGGGAAACATGCATCACACGGACTCAGAAATCAGCGAGAAACTATGTGCTCTCAGCCTGCAGGCAAAGCTTCTAAAGACAACATCCTGTTTGTGTTTGTGCAAGAAAAGAGTCTGTCAGGAGCTCAGACGGGCCTTCTGCTGGAAACAGCATGGATCTTCAATTCTCGAAACTGACTGGTTATCCCATTTGTGTGCATACATTTCTAAAATAGTCTTAAAGTAGTAGGTAAACCCCTTAGAATGAGGTTTTGCAGATTTCCAGGCGATAAAAAACACCTGCTTTGTCTGCTCATATATCAGGTAGTTTCACATGAGGAGTCACACACGTTCATATAAGGAAAGTTTGCCAAAGATGAGTGCCATAATTGTAGTGCAAACTACAAAGCAACGGCGGTGACATGCAACACTTGCTCACCATACCTTCAAGGATGAACAAACATTATCCCAGCATCTAGAAATTATTAGCTTTTTAATTAGTACATGTGCTCTGGAGGAAATCCTGCAGACATTGTGGAGCGCAGTGACCAATGAGTCAATTGCAGCAGTAATAAGATAGCTCTACCATAATAAATAACATGCATTGGCTTAATTGCATTTTTAGAGGTTGCGTAATTTCAATGATTGAAATCACAAAGCTTTACAGTATGAATCGGCAGTGCTTGAGAGGATGGTGTTTAAAAACGGCGGTGCATTAACACGGCGCAGTCATCTCACAGGTCACTGATAAAGATGATGAAGACAGATGAAGTGCTGTAAATTGGATTAGCTTTAATGTTGTAATGAAATTAGCTCTCCACTTGAAGACAATCCTCACATTTCAGGAGGAATAAGAGTGATTGTCAGTCATACAGACTGACTGTCACTGTGTAAACATCTATCTACAAAAGCAACAACAACACAAACAGACTTTTAATTGATGACTATCTGCAGCCTATCAGCTCTTATTATCAGTTTTATCATCACGTAGTATATTGTGCTTTATACATTTTGGTGCATGAAAGTCTATTGGGTAACTTTAAATCTTAAAAGGCTCCACAATATCATTAGTGGATATAAAATCAAATGAAAAAGCCCACTAACCAATCATCAGCTTGCAAATGTCAGTCTGTAATAGCTTAAAGGTATTTCTTACTTCTCGAAAAGCGGTCTCCCTATGCTCTTAAGTGCACTTATGTGTGACTTGATATTTCAATCGGAAGAGAAAAATATCGAAGGTCACTTCAAAGCATTGATTCTTTTATATCTAATAATTATCCTCTTACCCTTTAAAGTTTTGTCATTGCCATTTATTCCTGCTGTTTAAAAAGTATCATGTCCTCTGGGATCGTCTTACTTTCTTCTCTTTTTCATTTGACATTTCACACTTAAATTCATTTTTGTGTGAGGTGTTTTCATAAATGTCGTCCCCCTCCTCTTTATTATTACAGCATCACAATCTTGTCCCTGCCATTTGTTTTGTAATTTTTTGTTTCCAAAGAAATGAAACCTCAACCTCAACCCTCACTTCCTTCTTCTTTAGAAAGTCAGGGGATTAAATGTCACGACGACGGCGATAACTTCTGCAAATGTTCATGGTGATGTAAATGTGCCTTAACACCTGACCTTTCTGGTCACCACATTTGAGTGGCTGAAGAGGAAGTATAACAAAGAAGTTGTTGTTGTTTTTTTGCTTAGGAGATATTTACAGCGGCATGTCCAAACAGTTACAGAGGAAGCCCAAATCCTTTTTTTGAAAGGATGAAGAAAAAAAACAACTAGCCTTCACTCAGTCTAGACATATTCAACAACGGCGGCTCTACAGTTTCCTCTTACCAGGCAGCACTGTAATGCTGATGGTACGTTTCTTGCTGAGTGACTCCACAGAGGGATGCTCGGCCATGCAGGTGTACCGACCTCCATCCATCGCGTTCACCTTCTTCAACGTCAGCTTAGAGGAGGGAAGGATCCAGTCGTCGCCCTAGGAGAGGAAGATGAAGACAAACATACTTTGTTACTTCAAATCAGGTTCAAAAGAATCTTAAATATGTGACCACACTAGTTTGATGTATATTATGATATTGTTTCAAATGCTGATACATGTTCTTATGATTCTCTTCTATATGTAAGTTTACAGTATTGCTATTAGTATTTGAATATATTTAACAAGTCTTTGGTATGCCAATTAATTTTCTTTTCCCCTGTCCATCAATAAACAAATAAATACAGGCAAGCGTAGATTAACAGAGCACAAGGAAGGAAGTAGGAAAAATATTTTATTGTCCGGACTGTTTGCAGCCCTAAGAGTATTGACAAACTCCTACAAATTAAAATAGTGCTGAGCTGAGACTACAGGAGAGACCGAGAATAAATGAGGCTGGTAGAAGAAGGAGAGAGACAGAGAGAGGAACGCAGAGACAGTCAGGCACAATAAGTGTAAAGGATAGAAATAGAAAGAAATTGGGCAGAAAGTGTTATTTTGGAAGGAGGAAAGAGGGACAAATTAGAACTAAATTGAACGAAACAGAGATGAAAAAGAGAGGGGCAATGACAGTGAGACGCAGACGGACAGACAGAGAAAATCCTGCTAGTTTTCTGTCCTCAGAAAACACTCCCTAAAGTCCCAAATGAAGTGTATTTACCTGAGTAGTAATCCCCAATGAATGAACACACATCGGCACAAGTCAATAACCCAGAGAACACCATCATCCGCAAAGAATGACGCCGCGACAACACGCTGTTAACACAACACGTAATGAGATGGCAAGGGAGTGGGATGAATTGTTGACACAAAAATAGCAGCGCTATTACGAGATAGAGCGCGACATGGGAGGAAACAAATAATAGGCCAAACGCAAGGATTGGAAAACAAAACCAACGTGAAGAACAGGGTAACAAAAAAAAAAAAAAGACATTACACCATGCAAATGATTTGGCTCCTGGGAGCTTCAGCTCCTGCCAAGAAAGTCCATTTCAATTTGAATGGATCTGAATTAAGAGGATTTCCCATAAAGGCCAGGTCTGGCCAAAGCAGCATTTTGTATGCAAATCCACTGGCATCCAATGCAGTGGCCCGATTCTGCCTCTGTCCTGCTGTCATTACCCAGGGGCCAATGTGCCTAAGGCTGCTGTCTGTCAAAGTGGGACGTTCTGATGCCACTTTCTGCCCCATATCTATTCCTGTCATACCTACAGTGGGCTTACGCTTACATGTAGACAATCATTCCATCCAATCTCATCATTTCCTCAAAATGTCTCATTCCGCTTTTCCAATCGGTTTGTGGCTTATGTAAATGCAGCACAAATAGATCGACAGCTGAACCTCCAGCGCAAAATGATCCCGTCTCCGTACAGCAATGGCTCTGTCACTCAGTCTGGCTTTAATTTGATTCTTCATTGGAGGTCTATATTTGACAAATTATGACAAAAACCTATAAGCCCTACATGATCACGAGTAGGACAAACAATATTAGCAGTATAAAATGTCCACTGGATTGGATTTGGTTTTGTAAGCCAATTTAAAACCTGGATTAGTAGTGACCCTTTAGCGAGCACATTAACCCTGAGCCCACTTATCTGGAGGAATAACAAAAGAGGAAACTAAGCAATTATGTCTGCCTCTCCCCAAGATATCTTCATAGTTGCATGCCGTAGCTTCATTACACCTATTTTTTGATGGTGGCAGTACACCATGAGAGTGTAATACCATTCTCCCACCACAAGGGCACAGTATATCTCCGTACTCATCACCGTCTTCCTCTTCTTCATGCCTTTTGGCACAATGGCGTTTTACATAGAGTCGTCTTAATTTCCCTCAGGCGAGGCCTCCTCAGCTCAGCGAAGAGCCAAGTTGAATAATTCAATACTGGTTAACCAAACACTAAGAAAATCATTAGAAATCTATCCGCATAATTGTTTTCAGGTTGACTGGCTCTTGTCTAGACCTCATTAAACTATTAATCCTTTGTAAGTGGGCGAGCTGCAATCCCCAAGCGAGCGGAGGGCCTAAGCCAACCGGTCACTTAAATACAGAGCGCTTGTTCTGGAAAAAAAAAAAAAAAGGGATGAAAGACGACAAGCTGAGGGGAAACAAGTGGCTTGAGAAAGTCAGGGGATAAAGTAGAGAAAATTAAATAAAGAATGCTTGAGCAATGACGCAAAAGACAGACCTGCAGAGGACGGAAGAAGACTTAGGAGAAAAAAAAAACAAGGAGGCCACATTAAAAGGAGCAGGGGAGGATGACAAGTTCCCAAACACATAATGAGGACACTGCCACTGCGTGCACGTTCCCGAAGCTTTCTCACGTCTTTATTCCAGAAGTAGTTAGGCTCCTCAGACGAGCTGGCAGAGCACTGCACCACCACTTCATCCCCGAGTCGCACCTTCAGCTCCTCTGGCATCCCGAGGTAGCTGCTGTAGCCTAGCCTCGACAGTGACAGCTCCCCCATATCTGAAATTAAAAAAAAAAAAAAAAAAAAAGAACATCAGTAATAATAAGGCATGATGGAGCATTAATGAAGATGGAAATTAATGTTCACTGATGCTACCTCTTGAAGAGTTCTGGGACGTGACTGAACATATGTTTGCAGCGGTAGCAGCTGGTAAACATCCAGATCTTTAAGTATATTTGAGTGTATAGGGCTGGGGTATAATGCCTCCCAGTGGTATAGACTGTACCGAGCGATCAATAATAATGATAATAGGCTTCATCTTATTGGAGTCTTTAGAGAGGCAGTGTTGTGAATAATGGCTCATTTTCTCTTCCATCTCAATAGATGGCCCACGTCCATCCAGCCAACTCCTCCTGGCTCCTCTCTCTCTCCCGCTCCGTCTCCTTCAGTCCTTTAGTCCATTCTAATCTCTGCCACTTATTGATCCCCCCCCCATGAGGCTGAGGAGCCTATCAAACAGCATCGCGGGTCGATTTGATGGCCACTGAGAAGATAGAGGACACTGATAATCTGACTTGCTACGCCACGGATGCTGTTTCATTCAACTGTGTATCCTACAATGATCGTTCCAAACTCGAGATAAACCAGAAGAAAGCGTCTTTGGTCAGTCGGAGTGCAGAAAAAAAAAAAAGGAAAAAAGACAAAGAAACAACTCTAGCCAAGCTATCACGCCCATCAGAGTCTGGCACTGCATGTGTACTCTTTGCACTTGTTTTGTTGTACAGCTGCCCTGTCCAGATATATCGTGTGGTATTAACTATTCATATGTTTTTCTCTCCCTCACTGTGAACAAAGCTATGTCCACACAGTGTCTGAAAGATTGTCTTTACCTCCCGCTGGTTGGGAACATGAGGAAAATTGCAAAGAGTTACGGTATCTCTGCTCTACATTAATACCTCCTCATCCATTGATTCCCAAACTGTGGGCTGCGGCCCCTTTGTGGACTGTGTGATACCATGCAGGTGGGGCAATAGATGTTTTTTTTTTAATCAAAATTTAAACTGAACTAAAATCTGAATTTTTGCACATCTATTTTGCTGCTTTACAAATTGAAATAAGAACATAAATTGATCACATTGCCATGCCCACTTTCACAGAAAAATTAATAGTGGGTAATAAAACACAATATGTTGGGAAATACTTAATCTTTGTCTGAAGTGCTGGTGACTCATTTTAATAGAGGTTTGGATAGGGGCTGAGTATATGTGTAAGATTTCAAAGTAGGTCAGACATTCCTAAATTTGGTAATGGCTGACTTAGTTCATACTAATGTACCCTTGCTTTCATTCTTTATTCTTTGTGCGTCACCTCACACTAACTTCCTCATTGGACAGGGAAGTAGAGGATTTAAAAGCTGTATGCGAATTCCGTGTTAAACTAGCCTTTTTTTTTTTTCAGATTCCAGCAAAACTCTCTTTGACTTCTGCACGGCGTGAGCGGCATGAAAAATCTAAGATTTATTTTATTTGTCAGAGAAAGGGAAACGGTGTCACAGATCCATTGTTCCTCAACCTTTCAAGCAGACAGCACTGACACAGCTCCAACCCCCCAAAAAAAAATCAACCCAGAAACTCACAATGCACTTTGAAGTCCAGCGGCAGGGAGGATTTGTCTTCCACAGTCACATTTTCAGCGTCAGACACACAGCGGTAGGGCCCCTCGTAGTACCTTCCTGCGTATGGGATGGACAGGAAGAGACTGTCTGCCGTCTCCTCCACTTGCATCGAATGGAAGCACCAAGATCGCTGGGAAACTGGACGCCAGCTCTGAATATACTGGTCGGAAGAGAAACGGAGGGGAGAGAAAGAATCAAAAGAGAGAAAGCAATAAAGAATGAAGAAAAAAAAAACCCGCTTTGACGAGTATTCTGGTGAACTGCATTTGATGTTAGTTTCCATTGTGTTGAGCAACACAGCAGAGAGCTATGGTGTGATATTTACATAGAGCAGTTAACAGCACTATGTAAATATTAGTTCATGCTGCAAATGTTAGGACAAGAAATAAAGGGAAAATTATTTCCGTATTAAGAGTATAAGCCTTTTAATAAAAGAGTAGAAATGTAGGCTACATGATAAATAAAATGTTTTCCAACTGCTACAAGAGTCATTAGAATCTCTAAGAAATATTTAACGTTCATTTTTGCAAAAACTTTAACAATACCATGTCTTACACTTTGACCATTCTTGCCTTTCTTAAAAACACCGAGGAAGCACAAATAATGATGTCAGGACATCCTGAACTCCTAAAGTGCACCCTGTCTTCTCACCACATCCTTGTTTTGCCCACCCACCCGTTTGCTCCCCTGTTGGCTCACCTTGGAGAAAACCTCAAAGTGGACCTGGCTGATGTTCAGTTCAGAGTCTGAGTACTGACACTCCAGTGTGATCCTCTCTCCCTCCAGGACCGGCTCGGTCGGCCCTTTAATGAGCAAAGTGGCTGCATGTGGACAGAGATTAGAGATGCAGGTTATTGATCACAGCATGAATAGGCAGCGGAAGCCCAGGAGTAAAAAAGCGTGATGACCTGAACTGAGGGGATCGAGCTGCTGTTCTGGGCAACACATTCAAAACAACCTCTCCCTCTTCCTGACATTTGTTTCAAATGTTTCTGGAAAACGGCCAATCTATCTTGCAGTGACCACATGACCAGCAACAGGTTCTTCTACTTTTCTGACAGAATGATAACAGAGGCAATTTGGCTTTCACTTCAGGCAAAAAATATTGGCACGCACCAACATCTAAGGTTGGGTTTTATTCCACAGTCAAAAGGGATTCGTGTGGACATGTGTCTTCATACAGTATGCATAAATACAATTATTTAATTGTTCTTGGCAGTCCCTTGATAGTTCTCTCATCATTTCCTTGTTTGGTCTGAGTCTCAGGGGGAACTCCATTAGTGTGACAGAAGAGAAACTGAAGCCTTTTCTCTAGAGGACAGAAAAACTCAAAACAAACAAACAGGAAAGCAGACAGATAGGCAGGCACACACAGAAAAACACACTCAAAACGCAGGGACTGTCTCAGCATGAATATGTTTGTGAAGGGGAAAACAGGAGAACCACTCTTGAATATTAAACCAATAGCTCATAACTGAGGCGCATTAAAATTAAATGTTTTGGAGCGACTGTATAATAGCCCATTGGAGGGAAAAAAAAAAACATATTTACCATAGCTGCCATGAATCAGGGCGACCACTGCGAAAACAAGAAAGACGTTCATGACTGAGAAGGCTCTTCAATATAAGAATTAAATGCTGCGTAGTTCCGCGAAGTTTCTATCTGAAATGAAAGTTTGCTCACTATTTATCTGAAACGACATGTGGGCGTGGCTTCACCCTTGTGTTCTCAGGAAGTGCGCACAATATGGTTTGAAAATGCGAAAGCAAAACGACACTGTCCATCAAAATCTACATTATGTAGTCGAAAATGAATTGCTCAACAAGCCGTATTACATGTCAACAGTCTTGTGACTCTCTTTTGCTAATGAGTATATCAAGTATGCAATGCTATTTATCAAATGCAATTGAAAGAACTGTGCTGCCCCGGTTATCAAATGTTTAGTGCGTCATTTGTCTCCGAGGAGAAGCGAGCCTGTCACGTTTACAGTGTGTCTGTTGTTGAAGTCAGTTACCGTAGGTGTTTCCAAGGAAGCTAAGTTCAACAATAGGTTTTGAACAAAAAAAAAAAAATGTGTCGACATGTCACCGCAGAGCGTCGAACTAGTCAATGTGATATGTAAGACAGAGCAAGCAAACATTTCGCGCTTCACTTGCTGTGACCTTTAACTCATTTGCTCACCGAGGCTGAAATCGAGACGCGTCTGAAGAAATTGAGTCAGGCAAAGAAGCTCGGAAATCATTTGCTGCACGCCAGTTTAGCTGACAGAGCCTCCTTTATATTCACTGGGGCAAAAAAACTCAAAAAATATTCGTTTATCACTTTCACTCGGTTGTCCTCTTGCTGCTTTTAAGCCCAGTCTATTATTATTGTAAAAGTTCAAATATACATATTCATATATACAGAGCACACAGTTCTGTATATGTATATTTATTTCTCGTTTACTGCACATAGTTCTGGTTACATCTGTTTACATCTGTTAGTCCGATCACTGTCCACTTATATCTACTCTTTTATATTTTGTATTTTTAAGTTAAGTTTAAGCTTTAAGTTGTATTTAAATTGACACTTTATGTTTAGGTTAAAATGTTTCGTTACTTGCACTGTTGTTAATTTACTGCTCTGTGTGCCTTTGAATTGCCTCCCAGGGACAAATAAAGTTTTTTGAATTTGAATTTGAAAATACTGATAACCCAAAGACCTATTTTCTTTTTTTGTAAGAAGTGGCTTTTTTTTTTAAATTCACAATACATTTTTTTTTTTAGACAGAATGGTTTCTCGCTCCTTTTCTGCCTAAACCTCCTCTCATGACATTTTGAGTATGTTTTGATTTAGCTGATTTCGACTAAATGTCAAGGGGGTTTTTATTACAGTAATACCCAGAGACATGTGGCTTTTGGTTGTTGTTGAATTGTTTTTTGTTTTTTTTAAGTTTTTTATTTCTACATCATATCCATCACATACATGCATACTTCATTCACATCATCATACATCTCATATTTAGTTTATTTTATTGGATTTTGCATTTGTTAATGGTGAAGAATGGGGTTAGGACTTGACAAGCCTAGGCTTCTTCCTATCCCCTTTCGAACGAGTCAAATGTGTATTATATTGAAATTGACTTTTTATTTTTTTATTTATACAGATTTTTATTTTTTTCCATTTGTTTATTCATTTTCATCTATTTTTTAATCGTTCGAAAAACAAAAAAAAAAGAAGAAATAAATAAATATTCTCGTAGTCCCCCGCTGTTGTATTCTCACATGATATCCAGCAGGTGGCGGAACACTGCGCCTTGATGTTGCCACCGGAAATAGACATAAACAGACCGGATGTAGGTAAACATTCCTCGCTGAATTTTGAAGCCGCTCAGAGTCGATTTGAAAGAGTCTTCCTGTGACACACTAACCTATTAACTGTGCTAAGACACCGAAACATGGACAGATAGTGTTTGTTTTACTGGGTGAGTGGTCGATCTATTTCGTCATGTGAGGATGCACTGTGCATTTAGCCGCTCCGCTACATTAGCTGCGAATGTTAGCCTGTTGGGCTAAATACATGGCTTCAGAGCTGCTATTGTTTTTAGCACATGACGCTCAGTCAATGTCGATATTTTACATTTGTGCTTTGCTTTGTGGAGTTTATTTGACTCCCGACAGGTTACTTGTTTGACCCTTGTATTATACGATGACTGTGTTTTTCTGCTACCTCGTTTAATGATCTAAGTAAATCCTGTACGGTAGTTCACGGCTAACTTTATGAATGTGTCTGTTAGCTTTAACACTGACTGCTTATTATGTTTACTGCATCTTTTACAACAAGGGACAAAAGCAAATTGTCTTCGTGATTGACAGATTAGTTTTCAGCTAAATTATTAATGTAAATTATAAAACATAAAGTTAATGTAATATTATAATATAAATTAAATGCTGTGTGTATTTGGACTCTATATCAAATTGAGGCTTCTGTAAATGAATCACTTCTATAATGAGTTTTGTGTTAGCATGTTTGTCAGTAAGGGTTTCTCCTGTAATACCTCGTTATTCTCCACAGATTAAGGGACGTGTTCTGGACACTTAAAGGCACTGATATCAACACATTACCGCTTCTGAGACTCCAGTGTTACCTCCACTGTTCCTGTTGCCACCAGAATGGCTAACAGTACCACGACAGCAGTGAAGGTGATGAACCCTGGTCCTGCTGGTCGAAGTAGCCCAGAGGGATCTCAGGTCAGTTGAGTTTTCACTTGTAAAACACAAAGACACTGCCTTTAAGCTGAATTACTACCCAAGCTATGCACAGAGTCTCTCTTACTTGCTCTCTGAGGAATTGTAAATATCACCAAACATCATGTTATAGAAGAAGCTGCCACAGTTCTCTTGAAAATTAACAAATACATGTTTAAGTCAAACGATATAACATCTCATTACAGTTTTATGTATTATAGTGCAAGGTTAGGTTGTCGTTTAATTTTGATCATAACGTGTGAAGTGCAGTTTTCCCCCGCTTTTTGCGCTTACTGTATTACAGTGACACTGAACGCACATCCATTTGAGCGCCACAGCTTGAATTTGAAAGAAAACCTTATGTGTGCCCTGTTGACATTATCACATTTAGGGTGATCACAGGACTTCTATAGATATCACAAAACATGTACACACCAGTACTCTCCAAACTCAGTAAAACATCTGCTTTCTTTCCAGGTGCTCAGCAAGAAGAAGCTGCAGGACCTGGTGAGAGAGGTTGACCCCAATGAGCAGCTGGATGAGGATGTCGAGGAGGTCTGTCAACGGCTTTTGTTTTCATAACAAATTCAATTGAAAGTGTTTTTGTAGTGGGGTGTAAACATTAGCAGCAGTGGAACTTGTTTAGAAATGAAAAATAACTTTCAGCAAGTGTTGGTGCTCCAAAGCTGCCCTAGCCTAACTGCTACCTTTCTGAACACAGCTGGTGGTATTTTTAAATCGCGTGTCTCTTCTTAGATGCTGCTACAAATCGCAGATGACTTCATAGAGAGTGTAGTGACGGCAGCTTGTCAACTGGCACGCCATCGCAAGTCTAACACCTTGGAGGTGAAGGATGTTCAATTACATCTTGGTAAGTTTTTTTTATTTGCAACACATTCATTTTTTTTGTGTTGTGACCCCTTGTACTTTTCACTAGAGGGGTGTCCATGGATCACACTAAAAACATATTAAACCTGTAATTACTTGTATATATTATTTTTGTTTTTAATTGTCTCTGGGGCAGATTGTGCCTCATATATCTTCTAGATTAAATGTGTAAGTCATGTATTTCCTTACCTCAGGAGATATTCTGTTTAGTCCTTCCTAGTCCATATACTTGATGCTTCACCGTCTCTTGGCTCATAGTAATAATTTGTTGAATTTCGATGCACTGAGGGGGAAAAAAAGTAGTGTGTGGTGATTGTAGCAAGCGGTGGCACTCCTTTTTGGATGGACTGTTGACATCTCAAAGGGAATCCTTCACAGATCCATGTTCTGTTGAGAAAATGAAAACAACAAAAGAGGCAGGTTTCCACCGTTTACTTTGCGCCTCTTGCAAAGCAATCATTCACAAGCAGAAAATGAAAGCGCCTCCTGATCATTTCTAGACAGATTTAGGGTAACATGGCACTTGCAGGTACATCCCAGCTCCTTAGAGTTTTCCACTTAAAGCAGAGAAAGAAAGTCACTCAGCGGGGATAATCAAGGCAGCTTCAGAAATGTACACATTGCCTGATAGGCCTAAAAATGATTGCAGTCTTTGGTATTAAGATGTATGATAAAGTTTATCTTTATCTTGTCTTTCTGTAAGTTTGACGTCTGGACTTTCTGTTTAGTAAAAGGGAAATGTCCGCTCTGATAGAACATTTCCTTGTATTAATATGAATATATATTATGTTAATATATTGATCAAATGTTTGCTTTCACTGAAACAAGTCCTGAGCGGTTCATACTGCATGTATTCTGTAAATTTCATGTTAATGCAGTAATACATTAATATTTATCAAGCTCATCTCAGCATTTTTGCACTACTCACCACTGCACTATTATCTTATTTAGCCTTGTTTATATTAGTCTTTTCTTATTTGTGTTTGTATTTAATGTTGTACTTTGGTACAGTAAATTCCTTGTGTGTGTAAGCATACATGGCTAATGAACCCTGATCCTGCTGACATTTCACTTTGTCCTTCTTAGAGCGCCAGTGGAACATGTGGATTCCTGGATACGGCTCCGATGAGATCCGGCCGTTCAAGAAGGCGTGCACCACAGAGGCTCACAAACAGGTAAATAAAAAAAATAAAAAGTATTTATGTAGCATGTTGGAATATTCCATTATAGTGCACAGGCACTGATACGTGACACCTGATCTAACGGTTTGCTCTCCTTCTTTGCAGAGAATGGCGCTGATCCGCAAGACAACCAAAAAGTAGCGGGACTTTATACTCATTAGTTGTGCGCACTCTGTGTTGTCTTTTCTTTTTATTTGTCATCGTTTTTGTTTTTTTTCCCTTTCAAACAGGGATTCTTTTCTTTTCTTTTGGGGTGGGGGGATAGGGGTCTGATGAAGACGACAGATATCGCTTGGGTTTTTTTTTTTTGTCATCAGTTAGTGTTTTCATTGTCATAACTCCCTAACTTTAGAGTGTTTTGCCAGCACCATCACCCACCTACGATTCAACTGTTGTCACTGAGCATGTTTTGTTGCCATTGGAAACAAGCCTGGCAGAACTCTCTGTTCATTTCAGTTATTTTTTTTGTCAATAAACATTTACAGGGCAGCTTTTTTGATGTCCACGGCTGTATGTTGATACCTTTTTTAATCATCTAGAGCATTCGGAAGTAAGAATCAATATTTATCTCACTCATTCAAAGTCATATTTGTTGTTAATTTGCCAATAATAGATAATTGTAACTGTCAGATGTGTAAGAGATGCTTCCCTTTTTTCTTTTCTTTTTTAATAGAGGGTTTATAAGACCAAATTCCTACTTCGGTTTGTGGCCACATTTACAATAACGTCTTTGTTCTGTATGTACTGTTGTGTATTGATACTAAATGTCGTAAGTTTGACTTGATAAATACATTTATTTCAACAATCCCTGAAAAGTATGTTCTTACAGTGATATCAGAAAAATACATCACAGTCATGATTGAAGAGGTCGCCCCAAGATGTTCAATTACCTCACGTTCAGAGAAACAATAAAACAAAAAAAATGACTGAGTTCATAATATAATATGAGACGTGTTGCATCTGTTTGCCAGATTTAAAAGATAAAAGGTTAGCCAACCGCAGTCATATAGTCTAGTATTGTAATTGAGTCTTTGGGAAAGGCTTTACTGTATGTCTAGTGTGAAAAAAGACCTGCATATTTCAGTTAATTAAAAACAGTCCATTATTTCCACATGCCAGTAGTGTTCCACATTTATCACTTGAAATCCTGGCTGTTTTAAAAGTATTCTTATTATTTACAGTGAATGACTACACAGAAGTTGCAGGGGGTCACCAAAGTTTTCAAATGAGATCAGTGCAGCGACTGTTTATTTGCAGTTTCTTGAGGGGATCCAGTCTACAGACACAAAGGTTAACCTGTGGGGGAACCTTCAGTTGTAGCAATACAACATTGGGAATGGACTTGAGCTTGTATAGAGCTTTTCTAGTCTTAGGACTACTCAGAGCGCGTTTACACCGCAGGTTACACATTCACACCAATTCATAAAACAAACTGAAGGCAGGTCTGTGAAGTGACCATCAGTATTAACTAATCCACGCACACACATTTATATGCAGCCGACGAAGCAGCAGGAGCAAATTGGGGTTAATTGGATCGTACATGTAGCTTCAGGAGCCGGGGATCGAACCCCTGACCTTCCAGTCAAGAGACAGCCTTCTGTACCAACTGTCTGTTTTGGTTGCAGAAAGAGGCTTTGTATTTCTGAGATGAACAGTTAGTGCTATGGAAACCAGCCACATTCATTTTGAAGAACATTTTCCAAAAGTGCCCCAGAGTTTTTATTTTAATTTCAGCGACAGCACACAGAAACACTCACTTCACTTGGAGGATGTTGTGCAATTATTAGTAATACAAAAAAAGCCTTTTTAAGACAAACACTCAGGCCAAAACCATAAATTCACAGAGGCCTGGAATGATGTTTCTATAATGTCAACTAGGGGACCCCAAACTTTAACTTCCACCAACCTTTGACAGAACAATATATACAAGGACTGCCCTCTGATGTACTGAAACCAGGAAAGAGATTGATATTTTTTTGTAAAGTTGTCATTAAAACTTTTTTTTGTGACTCCCAGAAATAAACCAGTGACCTTGACGAGTAATGACCAAAGTGTGGAGAGAAGTTCTGAGCAGTTTATGGCTGTTAGGAGAAAAATAGCAGTAGGAGCCACATGCACAACAAATTATTCACTGGCAGGTTTTAGGGTCCAAATATCTGCGTCAGAGGATTTCATTGTATACAATCCTTGTAGATTAAAAATAATGATGAATATGATGCTGCCCCCTGTCTAAACCAAGACATGCAATGATTTAATTAGTATGTACAAGTCTTTCCAAGAATCTTACACACAATCGTTAACCTCTTTGTGGACTTTTTCAAAGTCTAATAAATACAAAAGCAGATGTTTTTTTTTGCAATAAACAATGCTTAAGTCCAAAGCTTTCCAAAGCTAAGGTGCTTGTGAAGCACTTTGAGCTTACTGTAACAGGCCGATGGCCAGCAGGTAATATTATCCTGGTTCTCCATTGTTGTTCAGCACATTAGAATGCAAACACCCACCAATCAGCTCTTCACAGTAAGTGCAGCTGTTTAACAACTATTGAAAATGGCAATTTTGGCTTAATGATAGGGTGAAATGAAGAGTCAGTAACTGACAGCAGTAAATATGTCATCCTGCTGGGGGTCCTATGACAAACAAGAGGATCTTAAACTCAGAAGAGTTTAGTCCTCTTACTACCCACCACAAGAGTCTGCAAATGTCACAGCAATCCATCTCATAGATTTTAAGTTTAAAAGGTGTTTTAGTTCGGATCAATGTGAGAGATCACATCATTTCTAAAAAAAACTTAATTACACGTTTTTTCTCCTGAAGTCAAAACTTTGCTCATTTCAGAGATGTCAAAGAATTTTACAAGTCAGTAACTTCACAACAAAAGATGCAAACATGCATTTCAAATCTTCACTGTTTCACGAGGGTCCAGTTATTACAGTCAAAATCCCCAATTAATCCAGTTTCCTGTGGGCAGGTTTTGGGTTCAGTAACAAGAGTCCAAATGGCTAAGCACCAGTTTAGTCGACAGTTTATTAACAGCATTTCTTGGTATTCCTGGGCGGCGTGTCAGCCTGTGCCAGGCTGGCTCTCTGTGCCTGCAGGGACTGTGGAGTAGCACACTTGACTCCATCCCAGCCCTCTAGCATTTCTACCTCTCCGCTCATCAGACCCTGGTAGACCCGCCGAGTGAGCAGCTCGAAGGCCTCCTTCACGTTTTGGCCTGTCTTTGCAGAGACCTCAGCATAGGGCACCCCGAGCTGTTTGGCCAGTTTCTCGGCCTCTTCCCGACTCACCACCCTCTCCCCCTCAGCATCCATGTCACTCTTTTGGCCCACCAGGATGAAGAGAACCCTGTAAGGCTGCACTCGCTCACACACCTCAGCATGCCACTCCTTAACGTGGTCGAAGGAGGCTCTGTTGGTAATGTCGAACACCAGCAGGCCTCCGACCGAGTTGCGGTAATAAGAGCGGGTCACAGACCTGGGGAAATAGGAGAAACACAATGAAGAAAGAAAAAAGGGGTCTGCAGAGTTCAGACTTTGCTTCCAACTTATTTCCTGTTCCAGTGAGTAAATACTCAGCTGATGCTGTGCACTGTTTGAGTTGAGCTTTTGAAGATAAGCAGATTGACATGGAGTCTGTGTCTTTGTTAGAAACTTGATAACAACTATGCCTTTTCTCAGCCTAATCATGAAGCTGTCAGGAGCTACGTAGTTACCCCATGAGTCACGGAATGCTTAAACCAAAGGTAAGGCTTACTAAAAGGGCCCTCCCAGCTGCCGCCTGGTAATAAGTTCCTTCTTCATTTAAACACGTCTGCATGAAAATAACCTGATTTGGCTGAGCTTTTAGCTGACTCAAGTGGGACTGGCTGGCTACAGATACCGTGCAGAGAGGCGGTACACACAAAGAAGCACAGTTTGCAATTTGTTGCGCTTCATTCAACTGGAGAACTGAAATAATGAATTTAGGGACAGAATGAGGCATGTTAAAGCCTAGTTGTTTTCATCAAAGTTGCTGAGCGGGAAGAAAAATGCCTTTTCACAGAGCTGTCTTCTCCACTTTAAGCATTGCACATTCGGCATCTCTTTACATATTGCACACTGATCTTGTGAGGGAGCATTGGCAGTGTTAGCTTAAACAAACAGTGATGAGCAGCTCTGCTGTGACTGGAATGACGACTGGTTGTGTATTTGGATAGTTTATTTACACGCATGTGAGTCTCTTTAAATAGTTTTCTTAGTGTGTTTTCCTGTCTAAAAGAGGGAGAGGATAGTACTGCTAACATGTGGATAAAGAAGCCATCTTTGATATATAAGGGCCTAAAATAATGCAAAGAATCCAAGACTTAAAAAATCTGCACCTAGAGAGGTGTTGAGCTATGACTGGCATCACTATAGAAGACTGTAGGCTCGTTCCCCAACGTAAAAAAAGATGAGTTCATGCTGACCTGAACCTCTCCTGTCCAGCTGTGTCCCAGAACTGCAGCTTCACACGCACGCCCGGCTCTACCTCCAGGAAGTGAACGTAGAAGTCCACACCCACTGTCTGGTTGATGGACTCAAGGAACAAGTTTTCAGTGAAACGCTTCAGCAGAGACGATTTCCCCACCGTGGAGTCCCCCAGCATGATGATCCTGAACTGGTACTGCCACAAAGTCAGGTCCATTGTTGCTGGAATTTGGAGGGGAGAATGCATGAAGAAATGAGGACAGCTTGTAGGGATACAGAAGTATGTGGAAGTGGAATAATAAGCGTATTAGGTGTATGAATTGAAAAGGTTACAGAGAAATAGAGCCAGTTAGATTGTATTCCAAGAGTTGGAAAATAAGGGAAAGAAAGAAGGAAAACAAACCTGTAAAAGGCTATGAAGTCCAAACCACCTCCCAGCCACTTGGTTTCCTGTCTTTAATGCTCCAAATGTTGAGGAACCACAGCAGCCACTCCTTATGAATCTCACAATCAGCAGAGAAGTCTTTGTCTGAAGTCATCCCAAACTCTTATGCCACAGATATCTCCAGGTCAAGTCTGTTTTTTACCTTCCGATGATGGTTTATCCATCCTCTAAGGCAGGTATGTAAAAAGATCTGTGCCAGGAAGTAGATCCAAGTGTCACGACAGCTCTTATGAGAGTTCAAATGCTACTGTAAGCATGGGCATGAGTGTGCTGTGAGTGTGTGTGTGTGTGCAGGGGTGTGGACTTTCTAAACTTTGCCTGTTGATACTTGACTAAAGGTTGGGCAAGAGCATAAGGACGCAGGGAGGGCTGTGGAGGAAAGGGAGGGCCAGCTGTTGGAGGGGAGGATATAAGGAAGTAGTGGTTATATTAAGGACCAAATGCTCAGTTTCCTGTTGTCCCCAACTTAACACGACATGTCATCATTGACAGTCCAAGAAAGTAAGGGCAGCTGTTTGCTTGGGCAATTTGCTGCAATTCTTATCACTTTATGGCCCTCTCCCTACAGTGAACATCACAGCCTCAAAAAGAGGAAGTTGATAACAATACAGCAGCCATGGGAAACGCTTGGAGAGGTTCAGGATATGCAAGTCATTTTCAAAGATAGGTTTGTCAGAAGGGGTTGACGTTATGTTTACAGTTAAGTATTTGCCCGTGTGTGACCGGTTTGCTTAAAAAAAAAAAATGAAGCCTGAGCGGCAATTCTAGTGATTAACAAAGTTGCCTCTCATAAAAGGCTAAAATCTGTGGTGCAAGGTTAAACATCAGTTAAACAAATTGTGTTCAGACTGTTAAAAGTTTGTTTGCATAATTCCAGTGAACCACAGCCGCTACCGTCTCAAATTCTACGGTTGAAATTAAAGGTAGTGTTCAGGGGCTTAATGGATTAATGCTGGGTCTTTGTAGATAATATGACAAAGAGTTAGGTTTTTTTTTACCCACTCTTTTTGTAAAGTGTCTTGAGATGGTATTTGTTATGAATTGGCACTATAGAAAAGGAGGTAGTTATACGCACATCACATATAGGTGCAGGGTCAGTGCAAAATCAGCACTGTGGAAGAAGATAGACCGCACACTCGCTCCAATTGTGATGAATTCAAACTTTTTGTGGCATTTGAGCAAGTGTGTGGCTCTATGAACTGGCACTATACAAAAAAAAAAGATTGATTGGCAGTGTTTAGGGGCTGCAGACTTTATGTTTGTTTGCACAGACGCCTGTGGGGGAGGGGTTATTTTCTGTGCCCCTAACGAAACTGAAATCATGGCATCAGTGAACACAAAGCTTTTCATTCTGTGTGGGACATGAGAGGGTGATGGCGTGTCTTTTTTTAATACTTTGGAATGATTGTGGTTAAGACATTTTAAGGACAGCTTATCAAGCACAATAAAAATAGATTTATTCAGAAGGAACAAACACATTACACATGCATCTGTACATCTGTAAAATATGACATGTTTTTTCATACAGGTGGGCCACAAAGCATGAAGGCATCGGTAACACTTCCAGCCATAACAGTGTGGAATGAACACCACTCTATTTGACAAGATCACAAGTGATAATGTAACTCAGAAGCTTGATGCTCATCATTCACAGCCGGCTGCTGCTTATGGTTTTAAGATCACATACAGGTTTTTGTTTCACTTTAAAACATCGTTACTCTTTCACCACTCTTCTCTCTGATTGAATACTGTTGTCTCAAGTGAAAATTAAATTACGCAGACTCATCAGATGACTCTGCATCAGCTTGATCCAAAAGTCATTCAAGGTGAAAAAAAACCAGTGATTGTTGATGCCAGGAGGCAAGAGGTCCTGAACATGAAAGTCATTCAACCCTGAACTGGTGAGCTATAAAAAGAAAGACAAAGTGTGCATGTTTAAACATTACAACATCCATGCAAAAATGCAATAAGTCTATGGCCGATATTTAAATAAAACACTTTATTTCAACCAGAAGAAATGCATATATACCCACAAAAACACAAGCACAGCTGTAGTGATGACTGTGTACTGACCCTGATTGAATGTTACAGTTTAACAAGTTAATCCTGGAACAAAAAAAGAAAAACCTTGAAACAAAACTTTAAAACAGACACGAACTAACATTTCAAAGAGGTAAATGTATCATTAATGTGTCTAAATGTTGGACACACAGGTAACACTTTACCAATACAAGGATGGGACGTGTCCTATCAGGTAATCAGATTGTACAGACCCTAACTCCAACCCAAACTGTTGCTTTAAATATTTAAAGGACATAGTCTTCCACATCTTTTCTCACAATTCAAAATAATAAGCTTTTAAAAAAATAATCAACTGTGAAGCTCCAGATAATGACAGCAAAACTTTCCCTTACCTTTACATCTCATTGCATACTTAACTAAATGCTCATCATCTTGTACCAAACAGAGTTTAAAAACAGGGTGATAAAAATGCTGAGTTTGTAGCGTCAGTTTAGGGCTGATCAGGCTTTTTTTCTTTTTTTTTTTTTTTTGTTGCATTTCTCTACATGAATCACACAAACACAAAAACCAGCCACATGCGCTTTAGTCTGAGGACAAAGAGGGGAACTTGAGCTCGGGGAAGTCTGCTTCAGGAGAGCTGCTGCCGCTGCGGTCGCTGTAAGTGTCCCTGCAATGAAAGATGAATTCATAAAAGGTCTATTACAGCCGTAATGCCTGACAGGGGGAGCTTTATTGTGATTGAAGGTGCATTGATGACAAAGTATCCCAGTAAACTGCAGCTGTAATACCCACGGGGGTTTTGATGGAATTACATTGCATATAATATACGAGGGAAGATTATGACACTGAATAAAAAATATGCTTGTAAATTTTCATTGACGTTGACACGTCAGCTAAGTTTGACTACATTGGCGATGCATAGAAAAACACACAACAACTTCATTTTACTCATCTACATGCTTCATCAAACCACTAAGTATTAAAGAGAGTTCACTGATCTAATATGCAAAAACATATTCCAAGTCTGCTTCGAACCCAATCCCACTTTAAGAACTTTGAAATTCAATTCAGAGAATAAATACAAATATAAGGCTTTAAAATATAACCTGGATTAACTTTTTCATTTATCACCCATTGAAGAATTTAAAGCTTAGGCAGGCAGCATCATTTTGTAGATTTTTGGTTGAAATAACACGTTTTGATTATTGTCTGTTCTATGTCTGTGAGCTCGGCTCCTTTGTATTTAGTTAAAAAAAAAAAAACGTGTCCAGGTTAAATCAAACAAACAATCAGGGTTAGCTTGCATGCAACTTGCCGATCACAGCATAACTTGTACAAACTTCTCTATGACTTGTGTCAGCCTCTCTCTCTCTCTCTCTCTTCTAGCCGTGTCTCATTTCAAGGGTGGCATCCTTGGAAGGATGCAGCCTATGAAGGACGCAGCCTTCTCAGCCTCCATCGATGCTCAGGCTGAACTGAAATGAGACATCTGGTTTACCCGTTTGCATCACAAGCCTTTTGTGTCTTTGTGCTGTCGCTGTAGCCTAGCAACCTCAACAGCTCTATCGCAACAAGTTGATATTAGATTTTCTAATTATTATCGCCAAACAATTTATCCACAAATTTAGATTTATAAAAACCGGACCAGTGTTCTCAATCTTCATGAATGAGGTTCAACACTAAGCAAGCCATAGTGATTTAGAAAGCTCTAGATAGCTTGATCCTTGATTTATCTTCTGACTCCTTTTGCTTTCTATTACAAGGTAGCAGAGGGAGAGGAACCATTAGCATGTTCATGCTGCTTACTGCTTCTTTAACTTTAGTTATACTGAACCTACAAACTGCTTAAATCATCATACAGTAATTTACCGTTTGCATTCAGACATACACCACAAATCACTATAATAGCACACTAATGTGACTGAGCTTACCGAGGAGAGAGGCGGCAGCCCTTGGTCAGGTAGCCCTGGAGTTTTCCAGCAGCAGCCAGAAGGAGACCAAAGTACGGAGGAGAGGGTTTGATGGGCCTCGAGGTGAACTCGGGATGGTACTGGACCCCAACAAAGTAACAATGATCTGAAACAACAAAAACACATTGACCTCTACCACATCAGGCTACATGGACCACAGGTAGCGATCACGTCTAAGTAACAGTTAAAGTATTAAAGTAGAGAGTTTATTTCCAGCATGTTGTAGTCATTAGTGACACTCACCCTCCATTTCAATGACCTCCATTCTCTCTCCTTCCACGTCCTGCCCGACAAAATTAAAACCCTTTTTTTCAAAGTGGTGCTTCAGCTCGGGGTTCACCTGAAAAGAGCAAAGGTGCAATGACACAGAAAAGGTGATTGAAAAATTAAGAGTTCAGGTTATTTGACTTTATTCCAGCAGAAGATGTGAAAAAAAGAAAAAAAAGAAAGAAAAAAAAAACCTACAAAGAATTAAGGCAAACTTAAGTGACTGCAATGTGCACAGGTAGTTGAATCATTTTCGTCTTTACAGAGAAAAAGCTTCGACAACTTGTTTTGGTCTCTACCTCAAATCTGTGTCTGTGTCTCTCGTCAACATACTCCAAATCTCCGTACAGTTTTCCTAGAAAAATCACATTTGCAAAGTCATTAAAACCATGATGTATAACAAAAAAAAAGGAAACCATCAATTTGAGGATGGATACATACTCAGTACACTGGTGTTGGATTTGAAAATAGTCCGCCTCTTCCCTAGCCTCATAGTCCCACCCATCTGCCCTGGGTTGTGCTCGGGCATGTCAATCACCTGTCAAGATCACACAGGATGTTAAAGCATTCTGTTGGGAGACTCTGCAGATATAATGTGAGAGATGAGCACGGCAGAAAGAGATAACCCACCACTGGGTGTTTGGAGTCCGGATTAAATTCTGTGGAGTTGGCATCTGTGGAAGATAAGCCCGAAAACTGATCAAAGCTCAAATCAGGTCTGCGGTTCTCTCACCATCAAATTAGAAACCGTATGAATCAAATGTGTCACAACAGTGTCCCCAGCTCACCTTCCCATCCGAGAACATTGCGGGCAAACTCGCACACTGCCAGCTGCATGCCCAAACACACCCCTGCACAAAACAAGAGCAGCAGGATTTTTGCATAATGAGAGCTATTGTAAGGATTCATAAATAGAGAGAGACAGAACAGGATCCCTTCTGAGCAAAACATGCACACAACAAAGGCTAATGTGTTTGCATATCATTACACAGTGCCTATAAAAAGTCTGCAAAAAAGATTCTATAATGTCAGAGTGATGACAAATCTTAAATGC